AGGAGGGACGGAGGAGTGAAGACCTTTAAGGCCTGATTGTTCTGGAGGAGGAGAGAGAGACGAGAAGGTTTAGAGTGAGTCCTCCCTTAGTCAAGTCCTGGCTGTCCAGCCCCACCTTCCCGACGGTCACACTCATCCAGGTCCCGGCTGCGTGATGAACTGGTCCCAGCTCCAGCGCCCCATGCGCTCAAACCCACACATGCGAGGAGTTTTGTTTTGTTTGATAATCCTCACCTGACGATATTTTTCCACTGATTTTTAGAGAGAGTGGAAGGGAGGGGGAGAGAGCGGGAGAAATGCATTGATCTGAGAGAGACACGGATTGGTTGCCTCCTGCAGGCGCCTCAACCAGGGCCAGAAACGGCAGCCGAGGTTCATGTCCTTGACTGGAATTGAACCCGGGACCCTTCAGTCTGTGGGCTGAGGCTCTAGCCACTGAGCCGGACCAGCCAGGGCCGCACCTGCACGTTTTATCTCCTCTCGGGTGCATGTGATGAGACGGCGCCGTGTGCAGGGGCGGGTGGGGGAGTGACAGCACAGGGACCAGGAGCCACCTCGTGGGCCGCCTGCCGTCCAGTAGGGAAGACGCACCAGCGGAAGGACTGCCCGGCCTCCATGGCCTGGGGGGTGGGAAGGGGGACCCGGGTGCGGGTGGTCTCGGGGATCCTTCCCAGAGGTGAGTCCTGAAGGAGCCTAAATACTAACCATGTGGCCCGGCCAGCGTGGCTCAGTGGTTGAGCATCGACCTAGGAACCAGGAGGTCACAGTTGGATTCCTGGTCAGGGCACATGCCTGGGTTTCGGGCTCCATCCCCAGTGTGGGGCATGCAGGAGGCAGAAGACCCATAATGCTCTCTCATTGTTCATGTTTCTGTCTCTCTCTTCCTCTCTGAGAGGAATAGAAATATATACATATTTTTACATATAAAAATTAACGGTTGCCCTAACTGGTTTGGCTCAGTGGATAGAGCATCGGCCTGCGGACTGAAGGGTCCCAGGTTCGATTCCGGTCAAGGGCATGTACCTTGGTTGCGGGCACATCCCCAGTAGGGAGTGTGCAGGAGGCAGCTGATCGATGTTTCTCTCTCATCGATGTTTCTAACTCTCTATCCCTCTCCCTACCTTTCTGTGGGGAATCAATAAAATATATATTTTTTTAAAAAAATTAACGGCATGTAGGAGTGCTGAGAAACAGAGGGCTCTCCTTTGAGAGGGCCCACTGCAAACACACAGCCAGGGGGCGGGGGCGTGTAGGGAAAGGCAGGTGTCCCCGAGCCTTCCAATCAGCTCAGTCTAGGTTCCCGCACAGGGTGTCCTGGCCATTAGCCAAGAGGAGGGTCAGGATGACAGGGACAGAGAGAGCCCCGGGCACTGACATCCAGGTTCTTCCTGTCAGAGGGAGAAGGGAGATGTGGTCAGCAAGGGTCACTCCATTTCTTCCTCCAGGAAAAGCTCCAGGAAGCGGTGAGGAAACTGAGGCAGCTGGAAGAGGAATGCACGAACCAGAAAGCTTTCACGGCGAAGCAGATCGCCCAGTGGGAGGTGAGAATGGGGGGCTCTCACCTTGGCCGCTGGAGGGCACCCCCCTGGGCTCAGGTGCTGTCCCCCCCCCCAGTCGGGCGTGTGCAGGAGGCAAAAGCCCACGTCTCTCTCACATTGACGTTCCTCTCTCTCTCCCCACCTCCCTCCCTGCCACTCCCCTCTCTCTAACAATCAATGGAGAGAATATCCTGGGTGAGGATTAACGACAACAACAGAAAAAGAACAGGGATTTCTTGGTGTGAAGCTCTGTCTGTCCTGGCGCTTAGGCGTAGGGTCTGATCGGGCCAAGCACAGTGATGGTGTCACTGAACCAGAGCAGCAGGTGGAGCCCCGAGAAGAAGCCATTGTCCTCCTTGTCCACATCGATGAGAGCTCATCCCCTCCCCCGCCTCCTTCCAGCAGGAAATGGCCAGGAGGCCAGTGCCTGTCGGAGCCGCAGAATCACATGCCTGTTTACCGAGAGCCGTCCCCACTGGGTTTCCAACTTTCTTTCTTTTTTTACTTATTTTATATTTGTATTTATGTCAGAGAGGAAGGGAGAGAGACATAATAACATCCAGGAGGAGAGAGAATCATGGACCGGCTGTCTCCTGCACGCCCCCCACTGGGGATGGAGCCCGCAACCCGGGCCTGTGTCCTGACCGGGAATCCAATGTGACCTCCTGGGTCACAGGTGGACGCTCAACCACTGAGCCCTGCCTGCCGGGCTGAGTGTCCTCTCTTGACTGTAGGAGAAGATAGAGGCTCAGAGACAGAAAATCCAGGCGGAATTCCAGAAGCTGCGCAGCTTCCTGAGGGAGGAGGAGAGGTCGTACCTGTGGAGACTGGAGAGCGAGGAACAGCGCACTCTGCAGAGACTGAGGGGCAGTGAGGCCAACCTGGACCAGCAGGGCCAGGAGCTCCAGAGCCACATCCTGGAGCTGGAGGAGCGATGCCAGGGCTCTGCCCAGAAGCTGCTGCAGGTGAGGCTGAGCCCTGGGAGGAGGCCATGGGGGCGGGTCCTGAGCTGCTCTGGGGGAGTGAGGGGGGGGGCGTGGGAACAGAGGACCGCCTGCCTCGCTCAGCGGGGGGCACATCAGTGTGGGGGAATAAAAGGCAGATTTCTCTTATTCTGATTTACTTATTTTGTTAATCCTCATTCGAGGATATTGTTCCATTGGTTTTAGAGAGAGTGGAAGGGAGAAGGAGAGACAGAGAGAAACGTGGATGGGAGAGGGACACATTGATTGGTTGCCTCCCACAGGTGCCCCAGCTCTAGGCCGGGGATCAAGGCTGCAGCCAAAGCGTGTGCCCGGAATGGAACTTGGGACCGCAGTCCACAGGCCGACGCTCTATCCACTGAGCCATACCAACTTGGTCATAAAGGCATATTTCTTTATATTTCCCATCATTTTTCAACGTGTTTTTGTTTTGTTTTGTTTCGTTTTTTATTTGAGAGAGGAAGGGAGAGGGAGAGAGAGATAGAAACATCAATGATGAGCGAGAATCATTGATCGAGTGCACAACTGGGACATGTGCCCTGACAGGATCAAACCCTGACCTCCTGGTTTATAGGTTGATGCTGAACCACTGAGACACACCAGCTGGGCTAAGCCTATTCCTTTTAGAATACTGAACAGACTAAAATCTACAATGTGGCTTCCACTGGTCTACAGGACTCTATATATAAATCAGAAAATTTTGATTTGGCTCAAAACTCCAGTGTGGCTCAGTGGACAGAGCATCAGCCTGAGGACCGAAGGGTCCCGGCTTCCATTCTGGTCAAGCGCACATACCTCGGTGGCAGGCTCCTCCCTGGCCCAGGTCCTGGTCGGGGCTCCTGCAGAAGCCAACCAATCGATGTGTTTCTCTCACATCGATGTTTCTCTCTGTCTCTCCCTCTCTCTTCCAGTCTCTCTAAAAATCAATGGAAAATGATCCTTGGGTGAGGATCAAGAAGAATAAAATCCCCCCTGCAGTTAGCGGGGTGGGTTCCTTTGTGGGGAGCCAGCTCAGCCAAGGGTTCGGTGAGCTTGAGAGGGGGCGGCGTATGATGTAGAAAAGACAGACAGAGAGAATAAGCTGGGTCTAGGTGGATCTCCTGTGCCTGGCTGAGGCCTTAGAGAGAGACCCAGACAGCAACCAGAGCCTTTATTTATAGCCAGATGTAAACAAGGTAGTGGTCACCATAGTTACAATGTTCTTGGGAGTTTCACTTGTTTTGGCAGCACTTGCTGCACCTCCCACAGCCCATTAGCTTCCCAGATAAGCTCTAGGGACCCTCATAAGGTCAAGCCTAGTTATGCTAACAGGGCTGTGCCCTCTAAGCTGGGACTTGTTTGTGGCTTTGCCAGCAGGTCAGTCTAAGGCTTAACCCTATAGCCGCTCCCTACATTCCTAGCCGGAACAGGTTCAGGGGATGGCTTCCCCTCCAACGTGCCTGTGTCCAGGGGCACAGAATCCTGAAGGTCAGGTGATGGCGGGGACCAGGTGGGGCCGCCCCATGAGTGAAGGGTGAGCCTGGCCTGGTGGGCCCTCCTTCCAGCCTCAGGAAGGTGAACCTCCCCCTACCTCCAGCTGCTGGTCCCAGGTCCGGCTGCTGGAAGTGGAGGGCACCCCTCAGGGTGACCATGTCTCATGGCCGCTCCGCCCCCTGGGTCACTGTGGCCACCACCTCAGAACCCAGTCTGGGCGCCGTGCACCCACCCACCCCTGAGGCTTTGTGACAGGTGGCCTCTGGCAGGTGCGCTCTGAGGGAGGTGAGGCCAGAGGGAGCGTGCGGGGCTCCCTACCCGCCTAAGCAGCCGCGGGCTCCCCAGCACCTCAGCAAGGAGGGCGCCAGGCTCAGAGGCTGAGAGGTGTCTTGCTGTGCTGACCGTCCAGAGGCCAGAGTGGGGATCGTTGCCCGGGGTGTCCATCTGTTACCCAGAAACCCCCGGGTGGGCTCGGCTGCCTGTCGCTGTGTCCGGTCACCAAGGCAGGGTGAGTCCCATAAGGCGTTTACTGAGAAGGCGGCCCACCCAGCAGGCAGGGCGCTTACACCCATCGAGTCCTGTCTCCCAGCAGGTGCAGGGACCGGACTATAAGGGGAAGGGGCTGGGTGCTGTGTGCAGCCCTGGGGGTCTCAGCCGTCAGCTCTTGTCCTCAGTCCCCAGGCGAGGAGATGCTGTTGGTCAGATGGTGTTTTGGCTCCTGGTGGGTGGGCCTGACCCTGCTCATGGGTTCTGCTCGCTGGCCTCACAGCTCAGTCACCTCCCCAGTCACTTCGCTCAGGGCTTGGGAAGGAAACTTAACAAAAACGTAACCCCTGTTCACATGTAAGAAACGTACCCCTGCCGAGACCGGTTTGGCTCAGTGGATAGAGCGTCGGCCTGCGGACTGAAAGGTCCCAGGTTCGATTCCGGTCAGGGGCATGTACTTGGGTTGCGGGCACATTCCCAGTAGGAGATGTGCAGGAGGCAGCTGATCGATGTTTCTCTCTCATCGATGTTTCTAGCTTTCTATCTCTCTCCATTCCTCTCTGTAAAAAAGCAATAAAAAAAATATATTAAAAAAAAAAAAAAGAAAGAAACGTACCCCTGTTCCCATAAGTGTGTGTCCTTAGATTTAAAAGGACAGGATTGCTCTTCAGAGTCATCCAGGTGCTCTCCCAACCAGGGTATAAGCCCCCATCCCATCCGAACCCAAGGCCGGGCCTGCCCTGTGCCTCTGGGAGGGAGCAGCAGCCCATCAGCCTGGTGTTCCCACACTCACCTGTGCCTTTGTTTCCCGCAGGACGTGGAGGGTGCCCTGAGCAGGTGAGTGCTGAAGGGAAGGCGAGGGGAGTGGGGTGCAGAGACGCGGGGTGTCCCCTGAGCATCTCTGGCCTCTGCTCCCCCAGGAGCCAGGCTGTGCGGCTGGAGACGCCAGAGGCCCTGTCCTTGGAGGTTGAGACTGAGTGCGAGGTCCTAGAGGTTTGCTTTGAGCTGAAGAACAGGTTCAAGAGCCATCAAGGTAGGTGAGGGTGTTGCTAAGCGCCCAGGGGACCAAGCTCAGTGGAACCTCGACCCCATGGCTAACGGGGACAAATGGGAGGGTTTCTACTTTATGGTCACAACCCTGAGCTCCCATCGCTGGTCTGAAACAAGGCTCAGACTCCAGAGCACAGGCTGGTCTTATCCAAATAAACTGTGTTGGGAGCAGAGCCCGCCTCCAGCCGCCCCTTCCCCACCCTCCAAGGGGACATTCTTGAAACAAATGAATCTGCAGGATGCTGACAGCCAGCGCCCTGAATTCTACCCTTGAGGTTCTTCTAATCACCAGGACCCTGTGAGGATGAACTCCCTCTGTCCGTATTCGTTTGGGATTTCTTGGACCATCTGACAGAGCAGCCTGGCAGTTGTGAAACTGACATGGAGCAGTTTGCAGAGACCCTGAGTGGCCGGGTCACCACGGACGAGGCTTTGGAAGAACTGGTGGACCTCATCTATGAACAGGCCATGTCCGTGCCAAGGTTCCGCAGCGGGGGAGCTCGCCTGTGTGATTACCTGTCCCGTCACCTTACCATTCGCTCACAGAGGGGCAGCTTCCGCCAAGTGCTCCTTCAAAGATGTCAGGCTGATTATGAGCCTAGAGATCAAGCTGCCAAGGGGGATGAAGCAGCTCGGAAACGATTCCACGAGTTGCTGCTCTTTATGGGAGAATTTTATCTTCCGCTGGAGATCGAAGGGGCAAATGGACAGGCTCACACAGGTCTTTTTCGGGGGTTGTTGGATGCCCTCCTTTCTCACCCCGTGGACGATAACCTAATTTGTGCAGTAAAATTCCTGAAGTTGACAGGGCCCGCCTTGGAAGATGCCTGGAAGGCACAAGGAAAGACGGACATGGACGACGTTATCCAGGGGATTGAGAATGTCGCCCTGGACGCGCCCTGCAGTGTCGATATGAGGCTGATGCTCTTGAAGCTTGTTGAGCTCCGGTCAAGTAACTGGGGGAGAGTCCCTGTCACCTCAGCATCCAAGAGAAGCAGCACCTGAGATTGATCCCAACTGTTTTGTGACGGAACCGCCATTGGGTCCAGCGGATGGTGTTCCTCTCCCTGCAGCTGATCCCGACGACCACGATTCAATCAGGAGTGACCTGAGGGCGGGCGGGAGGGGGGGAGGGGGAGGGAGGAGGACATATGTGATACTTTCAACAATAAAGATTTATTAAAAACAAAAAAGAGTGAGTTGAAGAGAAGACTCTTTTTCCAGATTGTGAAGAAAACGGAGCAGGTGTGTCTGGGGTGATGACCGTACTTGGATGATATTGACGATGAGGTGGACTCAGAAGCTTATCCAGAGTTTTGTTTGGAACCAGAGCGTCAGCAGAAGCCGTCGGGTTAAACGTCCACGGGTCAGAGTGAGGAAGCCGTGCAGGTGATGGTGGGAACCGGACGCAGGAAACCTGTCACACTTGTACCCGATGGAGGACGCAGAGTGATGTCACTAATGTCCGCACCCTCAGTCGTGTGTGACACGCTCTGCCACAATAAACTTATTCCCTAGAACTTAACAAATAAACTAAAATAAAGTAAACTGTTGCCCTGGCCGGTTTGGCTCAGTGGAGAGAGGGTCGGCCTGTGGACGAAGGTCCCAGGTTCCATTCCAAGGGCACGTCCCTCTACCAATCGATGTGTGTGTCTCTCTGCCTCTCCCCCTCCCTTCCACTCTCTAAAAGTCACTGGAAGCCCGGCCGGCGTGACTCAGTGTTTGAGCATCGATCTATGAACCAGGAGGTTGGGGTTTGATTTCAGGTCAGGGCACATGCCCAGGTTGTGGCTCCATCCCCAGTGTGGGGCCCTGCAGGAGGCAGCGGATCCAAGATTCTCTCTCATCACTAATGTTTCTATCTCTCCCTCTCCCTTCCTCTCTGAAGTCAATAAAAAATATATTTAAAAAACTAAACAAGAAATTTATAAAAATTATAAAACTAAACAAACAGATAAGTACAAAAAACCCCAACACATAGCCTAGACATGTATAATTATGTGTGTGTGAATATACATAGATACATTTATCTATGTATGCATGTGTAGACATGTACATATATGTATATATATATGTACAAAAATGTATAGAAATGTGAGAGCCCAGGCCTACCCTGACCCACGGGCACAGTCAGCACTGGGATCAATGTCATACGCCTGATTTATTTAAGAAGCACTGTCTTAGGGCAATGGAAGATAATTGTGAGAGAGAATCATGGATCAGCTGCCTCCTGCATAAGTGAATCTCACAACAACAGTGTAACTATGGTAACCACTACCTTGTTTACCTCTGACTATAAAATAAAGGCTCAGCTTGCCTCTGGGTCTCTCTCTGTGGCCTCAGTCAGGCACAGGAAGATCCACAGAGAATAAAGAGCTGAATGCTCTCTCCGTGTCCTTCATTCTTTGCCAACTCTGTCCACACCTTTGGGAACCCCTGGACCGCTGGGGCTGGACCCCGGCAACTGGCGCCTGAACAGGCCGAACAGGATTCCCCTACATAAGTCATCCCCCTCTCCCCCCCAACTTGGGAAGGATAGGACTCCACCGTAGGGTGCTGCAGCCCCCCCTATAGAAGATAAGTAGGGTAAGAGGGTGGATAGTACAGAACTTAGATTGAGAAGATGGGCCATACTGAGTCTAAAGAAAAAAAGACTCTGTATTGATCTAACACATATGCTTTCTAGCAGAGGAGTTCAGTTCACTCCCAGTCAGACAGAATGTCTCCCAGTCAGGGGGAACTTCAGTTGTCAGGTGAAAGGACGCTCCAGTGAACCACGTGCAGAAGACAAGAAGGAAGGTGAGGAGCGAAGTTCAGTGACATAACTAGGTGTAAAATATGGGATATTCAGGATCTTAGGAGAAGAATTTATACGTATCCAATGCTTAATGCTACACTCTAAGCACGGGCTGTTCTGTGAGTGTGAACAGCTTTTCGATTGGTTGGATTTTGTAAGTAAAACCTGCACATGGTTTTCTGGGGGAAGGAAAGGTAAATGTAGAGGCATGGGAGAGGTAGGCCCAAGGAGCCTTATCCTTCACCCCACTGCAGCCTTTCCAGCCGGCTCAGTAAACCTGTATCATGTCACCCCGGGAAGTACAGATTGGCAGGTTCACCCTGGGGTACTTGATCAGGACTCAGGTAATAGCAGAAAGCGCCAATCCTACTCTTAAAATGGATATAAGAAAGCATTTGGGGTTTTTCTTTGTAGTGCCTGCTTTGGATTGAGTAAATGGATTTTACTTAGTTTTACCACATCAAAGTTAGTTCTTGACACAAAAAGAAAAACTAACAGTTTGACTCAAAGTTAAGGTTTTATTTTGAGGTGCTAAGGCTCAAAAGTAGAACCAATTCACAATAGAAATGTAAAGCTGCAACTTTTTAAGTTAAAGTAGGAAGTCGTAAATACAGAGGAGCATGTATGTTTATATGTATCTAGGAAGCCAGAGCTATTTCTTCAGGTTCCATGATACCATGTTTTGCTGGGGTCCAATCCCAGCAGCAATCCGGCAATGTTTAGTAGCCTGTTCTTCTAATGAGTTCTCACCCCATTTAGCCGAATTAAAATAAGCTGTCTTATTGAGGCTTCATGTGATATCTTCTGATTTCACATTTTGGAGCACTTGACAGCATTACCAGGGGTGAGGAGGGATGCAGTAGCAAGCTCTAAAATGTATACCCTTTTATGAATGGTCAGAATCCCATCAATATAAACCTTTTCTATAAAAACAAAAAAGGGGGAGAAGAATGTTATATGTTAAATTTTAAATAAAATACAATGCAGAGGGTTGTACAGCGGCCGAAAGGCATCGGGCCTCTTGTACAATAGCCTCTGCTGGGTGAGCCTGGTAGAAGGATACACAAACCAGCCAAGAGTTTTACCAGATCTAGTGATGATGTGGGGAAGAGGTGGTGTTTGTATCTTTCCAGAAGGAGCAGAGCAGCCAATTTGGGTACCAGAGCGTTACGTGCGTCACCACAACGGACCCAGAGAAGCTCCTTGTCCCTTCATTCAAAAGACTGAAAGTTGCCCAGATGACAGTAAAGTGGACAAAAAGAAGAAAAGAAGGCTACACAGGTTGGGACCGAGGTGCCAACATGGGGTCAGCTGAAGACGTTAACAACTGAGGCCCAGCAGATGGTAGAAAAGCAAGAAGTGGAAGCTACTCCCTCAATCATGTTTCTGGCTATGCTAGCAGTGGTCAGCTGCCAGTCTTCTGCAAAGTCTTGTGCAGCCACGTCCGAGGACTCTGAGTAAATCAGCAAAAGAAACTTTCATTTAGCAGAAACTCACTTATCGCTGTTTTGCATTGGCATTTTTTGTTATTCTTACTAGTTTTAAAAATGTTAAATCATTGGCATTGTTTTGTTAATAGCCAGAGCTTTATGTTTAAGTTTTAAAATGTTGACGTGTCTGTAGTTTGGGTTTTGCATTGGCATTGTTTTGTTATTGTTTTAATAGCCAGAGTTTTGTTCTTGATGCTTAAGTTTTACTTTCATTATGGTAGCTTAAAATTAAAAGAAGGGTGTGATGTAGGGCGCAGCTGGCTATAGGGTTAATGCCTTGGACTGACCTGTTGGCAAAGCCACAAACAAGTCCCAGCTTAGAGGGCACAGTTCTCTTAGCATTATTAGGCTTGACCTTATGACACTCCTTAGATCTTATCTGGGAAGCTAATGGGCCATGGGAGGTGCAGCAAGTGCTGCCAAAGCAAGTGAAACTCACAAGAACAGTGTAACTATGGTGACCACTACCTTGTTTACATCTGACTATAAAATAAAGGCTCAGCTTGCCTCTGGGTCTCTCTCTGTGGCCTCAGCCAGGCACAGGAAGATCCACGGAGAATCAAGAGAGAACCTGGCTATGCTGATCATCTGAACGCTGTCTCCGTGTCCTTCATTCTTCGCCGACTCCGTCCACACCTTTGGGAACCAGTGGACCTCTGGGGCTGGACCCCGACAGTCTCTGTTTTTTCCCTTTAAAAATTCGTGCAATTTGTGCCTCTGACTGAGTTTGCTTAGGATAAATAAAACAATTTGTTGCATCAAATTGCCAGAAAAAAGTGTTGTATGTAGCTGTGGCCTTGGCACACGGCACACTGTCTGTGCGTCCACATCCGTGTGCTGAGTCAGCACGGGCCCCACCGATAAAGGTCACGCTCTGGGCTGTTACATAAGCAGCCGGGTGACCTGGCCCTGCTGACCCCGCACCCAGGTCGCCCGCTGTTCCCGGGACTGGGAGGGGGCTGTCACCTGGACCCCGGCAGCGAGCCACCCCCATGGGCACGGGGTCACCAGGCTGACTCGGGCCCTGGCTCCAGGGTGCATATCTGGCGCTTTGGCCAGACGGGTCATGCTGTGCTGTCTGTTCCTAAAACACATAGATAGGAAGGTACTGACATCAGGCCAGGCCTTGAGATATGGTCTCATGGCCCCTTCCCAGCATGCAGGCCTTCTTTCTCAGAAGGCCCGAAAGTCTCATTCCAAATTTGGGAGACAAAGGACTGGGAAAAGTATAAATAAAGAGAGTTTCCTCCATATTCGGGGGCCCAGAATTTGAAAGACACATTTTTCTCTGGGCCTCCACAGAATTTAATAATAAAATGTAACTCTTGCAGTCAGCGCTGCAGTTCAGCCTCTGCTTCGGCAGGTGCTGTAACTGTAGTCAGCTGGCCAGCTTAATAAAGGCTCTTAAATTTAAATTCTGAGTCGGTGGTCTATCTCTCTGAGTGAACCCATAACAGTCTAACCCTCGGGTGAGTGGGGCTGGGTGAACCCATGTGATCTTCCCCGTCTGCCTTCTCTCCCGCCCCGTCTGCCAGGGATCCCGCAGCCAGAGCTCTCAGGGGCGAACCTTCACCTCATGGCAGGGACTGTGGCCTCAGGGTGAGGTCCAGGCCTCTGCTCTCTGTGGTCCCGGGAAGAAGGCAGCAGAGTCAGGGAGTCCCAGCTTCCCTCTTCCTCTCAGGGATCCTCAAAAGGGAGCCCAAGACCTGGAAGGGGCGGGGAAACCCTGTGGGGGAGGAGCCGGGGAAGCAGCCCAGGAGGCTGTGGATTGACTGCTGGGCTCAGCCCTGGGCTCCTCTGTGTGGCCTGACTTTCCCCAGCAGGTCACAGGGCTGAGCAATGAACCTGCCCGACCACCAGGGGGCACCCGCGAGGCAGATAGGAGAAGCCTGGAGAGGAGCTGCCCCACAGGAAGCTGAAGGGAACCCACCCTGGGGGGGGGGGGGGGGGGGCTGAGGAGCTTGGGTGTTTGTGGAGCAAAAATATCAACATCACTCAGTGGAGAGAGCATCAGCCTGTGGACTTAAGGGCCTCGGGTTTGATTCCCGGTCAAGGGCACGAACCTTGGTCCATGTCTCTCTCACATTGAGGTTTCTCTCTCTCCCTCCTCTTCTCCCTCCTTCCTTCCACTCTCTCTAAAAAAATTGATGAAAATCATCCTCAAGTGAGGATTGGAAAAAAAAAAGTAAGTCTAGGTTGGGCAGACAGTCCTTTTTAAAAAAATATGTTTTTTATTGATTTCAGAGAGGAAGGGAGAGAGAGAGAGAAACATCAATGATGAGAGAGAATCATCCATTAGCTGTCCCTGCAAGCCCCCCACTGGGGATCAAGCCCGCAACCCGGGCATGTGATTGGGAGTGGAACTGTGAGCTCTTGGCTTGTAGGTAGGTTGATGCTCAACCCCTGACACACGGGCTGGGCCCTGCAGTCCTTTTGCTCTAAGTGCCGCCCCCACGGTGGCCTGGGGCCTCCCATGGCTCCCGGCTCCCAGCTGGATGCTGACTGTTGGTGATGCTGACCAGTGTCTGAACCCTACAGAGCGACGCTGAGGGGGAGAATGAGGGCGGAGGTCACCAGCCCTTTCCACTTCAGAGCAGTGATGAAAAAATAGGGACCTAAAAAATAACAAAAAATAAAATAACATCCACCCAGAAGCTGATGGTCCCCAAGGGGGTTGGTCGGAGGCCATGGCAGGAAGAGCTGCAGTCGGGCCTGTGGGCTGAGCCCCTCGCCGACCTCAGACGCTCCTGCTGGCCCAGAGCCCAGGTCCTGGTGAGGACTTGTCCCCTTTCCTTGTGGCTGTAAAAGAAGGACTTCGACCCACCTCTCCCCACCCTGCCAGGCCCAGCCCAGCCACCTGCAAACACTTAGGGCCATTTCCTGGTTTCCTCCCCAAACCCAGCAGTGCCCCACCCCCCACCGCAGGCAGTTTCATTTCTACCTGAGTCCTGCCCAGGACCTGGGAAGTGGCTGCTCCAGGCGACTCCCTCCAGCGAGTGTGTGGCATCAGTGGTGGCCCAGGTACTGGGGAGGGTCCGGGCGGGTCTCCAATGGGGGGGTGATGACACCTGGTGTAAGGGAGGGGGTGCGGTGGGGGGCCTGGGTGGCAGGGAGGGGCGTGTTTCAGACACCAGGGCCTCTGGACTCTGTCCCTCCAGGCCCTGCCCTACAGCCCTTTTCCGAGGCCGCTTTCGCTTCCACCAAACTCCAAGTGTGCTAGGGGCAGGGGCCTGGCAGCAAAGAATTACTGAGTGGGCTGAGGGGCAGGGACCATGGGAGACAAAAATTGCTAATTATCTCCCTAGAAAAGCAATGTGTTATGATTAAACCCAGCCAGGTGTGACCTTGTTTTCCTCCCGTTTGTACTTGTAAACTTTATGTGAACTTTTACCCTGCCAGTATCAGAAACGGCTAATAAACCGATTACCAAAAAATTGCTCCTACCTTACCTTAACAAGTGCACTCTTTATCCGGAGGAGTTCCTCACCGTCTGCTTCCCTCCTCAGTCCCTATTCGGGCGCCAGTTTGTCAGGGCCAGACTGACAGGTTGAGCCGGGCTGAGGTAGGGAGGTGGGAAATGAGAAAAGAAAGAAAGACAGAAAAGCAGGATCGGGAGGACTCCAATTCTTGAAGAACTGAAGTGAAGTGAAGTTTATTAGCCACACAATCTTATTTATACACAACACACTGAATAGGAGGTCTGTCAAAAGGAATGTATTCTTTGTTCCTCTTAATCTCTAAGGGAGAGACACAGCAGAAGAACAAGTTCTCAATACAGCATATCTCAGTAAATAGTTACAGACTTCTTGGTAAGCCATGAAAGGCTGTTCTTATTCTACTGATAATCGCCATCCAAACAAGTCTGGGAAAACTGTGTGAGGTAAGGGTCCCAGCCTTGCTAGCCCCTTCAGGTGCAAGGACCTTGCCAGCTTACATCTAGCCCCCAACATGGAACTTCTCCTGGAAGACAGTCCTGGCTGGAGGAGAGAGGTCACCTGACTGGGCCTCCAGGACCTGCCCCTCTCTGCCCAGCCCAGGCCTTTCCTTTATTTAAAAAAATATTTGTATTGATTTCAGAGAGGAAGGGAGAGGGAGAGAGAGAAACACTGATGATGTTTCCCCTGCACGCCCCCACTGGGGTTCGAGCCCACAAGCCAGGTATGTGTCCTGACCAGGAATGAAACTGTTGCAGAAGATCAGAGAAAACCCAAGCAACGCTTTTCGAGAAAAGGAGTGACACTGTTTATTTATGCCGGCGGACTCAGGGAATAACTTTCCAAATCTGAGTAAAGTCACATGTAGTGGGCTTCTCTTTTATATCTTTCTGGGGTCTTTGTCCCCAAATATGGGTTATGCTTCCAGTCCTTTTCTGCAGGCTTTCCAAGAAGGCCCCAGGTGTTTGGACTCTCCAGGCCATGTCTGATGGTCTGGCCTGGCGCCAGCGTAAATAACTCCCACTCCGGGGCAGGCACTGTTCACAGTTTTATGGCCTCTGTATTTAGATAACAGGTTCTGCAAGTCCAGTTTCTAGTAAAGAGTTAGTGACTTAATTATAGGTTATCAAGAATGTACACTGGGCTTGCTGGCTTAGATTCAGATTGCTAGCTCCCCACCACCACCCCGAATGTCAGGGTTACTATAGATTTAGCCCTTTTTAGCCTTCTCAGAACCCTGACCTCCGGGTCCATAGGCTGAAGCTCAACCACTGAGTCAGACGGCCGGGCGCCTCTCAGGTGAGGGAGGGCCTGGAGGGACTCACTGGGTCTCAGGTGCTGCGTTTACCTCGGGTTCATCCTGGGTGGGTTTCCCTGGAGGATTTTTTCCCCCATGGTTTCTTACAGAGAAAGGAAGGGAGGGTGGCTGGAGAGGGGGAGAGAGAGAGAGACATCAGGAATTAAACCAGGAATGCGTCAGACCGCAGTGGACGCTCTAACTACTGAGCCCACTGCCCAGCCTTCCTTCTCTGGGGGGCCGTCGGGGAGAAAGGCTGGGGGTGCGGAGGCTCAGCAGGTCCACAGTCGCTGCTTCAATGGAATCTTCCTGAACCACCCAGTTCCTTAAGTTGCAAAGAAACGGTCCTGGAACCAGTTATTCCGATTATCCCTCATGTTCCTCAGGTGGGAGAGTCCCCCAGGCCCTCACTGGGTCCCTGGGGCATCCCGCCTCGCTCTTGCCCTCCCTGTGTCTGGGCTCCAACACCAGCTTCCCCCTGATGGATGGTCTCTATTGGGGCTTCCTGCAGCCCCCGGTGGCCATGAATCAATGGAAATGTGACCAGTCCTACTGGGTGCGGCTCAGTGGATAGAGCCTTGGCCTGTGGACTGAAGGGTCCTGGGTTCGATTTCGGTCAAGGGCACGTACCTGGGCTGCGGGTTCCATCTCTGGCCCTGGTCGGAGTGCATGTGGGAGGCAGCCCATGGATGTGTGTCTCCCTCTGTCTCCCCCCCTCCCCACCACTCTCTCTAAAAATCAAAAGAAAAACATCCTCGGGTGAGGCTACATCTGAATGTTAAATTCTGTTTCATTTCAGTGAAGGGAATCGGGGTCCCCACCCTAGTCCACAGCACAGCTGCACTCTCTGCAGCGTCTACATTGCAGACCTTTCTTCCCTCCAGATAAGACCTCAAGGCCCGTGGGGCCAGTGGAGGCCGGGCGCCCACAGGAAGCGCAGGGTGGGTGCGTTGCTACCTCTGTGGGAGCCTCTGGGTCCAGCATTGCAGCTTTTGGCAGAGGCATGGCGTCGGCCTCCACCAGCAAGAAGGTGCGGGAAGAGGCCACCTGCTCCATCTGCCTGCACCTGATGGCCGAGCCCGTGAGCATCAGCTGCGGCCACAGCTACTGCCAGGCCTGCCTCCTGCGCTTCATGGGCCCGTCTTCCTCCCCACGGAGACAGCAATACAGGGAGACCTTCTCCTGCCCCCAGTGCCGGGCTTCCTGCCATAGAGGCAGCCTGAGGCCCAACAAACAGCTGGGCAGCCTCATCGCCGCCCTCCGGGAGCAGGAGCAGGAGCAGCAGCAGCAGGAACAGGAGCAGGAGCAGGAGCTGTCCTGCCAGGAGCACGGGGAGCGGCTGCACCTCTTCTGCGAGGACGACGGACAGCTCATCTGCTGGCGCTGTGAGCGTGATGGGCAGCACAAGGGCCACAACACGGTGCTCGTGGAGGACGCGAGCACCGGCTACAGGGTGAGTGCCCTCCTGCGCCCCGAGACCCCCATCAGCAACCCAGTGCCCCCTCCTGTGCTCCGAGACCCCCATCATCCAGGAGGGAGCCCAAGGTTGGGACCCTGAATGCTAGCTTTCCTGGTGTGGTTCTTTCTTCTAGCAGAGAGGTGGGGGGGAGGGAGGTGGGGGTGGAGGCCTGGAGGGTCGGGAAGGTTTAGGTGGGTCCTCCCTGAATCAAGTCCCGGCTGTCCAGCCCCACCTTCCACGGATGGTCAGACTCATCCAGGTCCCGGCTGCGTGATGAACTGGTCCCAGCTCCAGCGCCCCATGTGCTCAAACGCACACATGCGAGGTGTTTTTGTTTTGTTTGATAATCCTCACCTGACGATATTTTTTTATTGATTTTTAGAGAGAATGGAAGAGAGGGGGAGACAGTGAGAGAAATGCATTTATCTGAGAGAGACACGGATTGGTTGCCTCCTGCAGGCGCCACCACCAGGGCCAGGAAATGGCAGCTGAGGTTCATGCCTTTGACCAGAATGGAACCTGGGACCCTTCAGTCCGTGGGCTGAGGCTCTAGCCACTGAGCCCGACCAGCCAGGGCCGCACCTGCGCATTTTATCGCCTCTCGGGTGCATGTGATGAGACGGCGCCGTGTGCAGGGGCGCGTGGGGGAGTGAAAGCACAGGGACCAGGAGCCACCTCGTGGGCGGCCTGCCGTCCAGTAGGGAAGACGCACCAGCGGAAGGACTGCCCGGCCTCCATGGCCTGGGGGGTGGGAAGGGGGACCCTGGGTGCAGGTGGTCCCGGGGAGCCCTCCCAGGAGTGAGCCCTGAAAGAGCCTAAACACTAACCATGTGGCCCGGCCAGCGTGGCTCAGTGGTTGAGCATTGACCTAGGAACCAGGAGGTCACGGTTGGATTCCTGGTCAGGGGACATGCCTTGGTTTCAGGCTCCATCCCCAGTGTGGGGCGTGCAGGAGGCAGCAGACTCATGATTCTCTCTCATCATTGGTGTTTGTGTCTCTCTCTCTTCCTCTCTGAAAACAATAAAAAGCCTATCTAATAAAGAGGGAATATGCTAATTAACCATCACAGCATCTCAAAGATGATGGTGCCCACCGCCAATAAGGAGATAATATGCTAATTGATTGCCCCTCACAAAAAGAGTTCGGCTCCCAGTTTCCTCACCTCCCCCCAACAGCCACCTAGGGCCTCCTGAGGCTTGTGCCGCCGGCATTGGCAAAAGCAGAGGTGTGATGGGCGTAACCGTCCCCTGATCGCCAGTCACCTCCACCTCTGAGGGCCCCTAAACTGTGAGAGGGGGCAGGCAGGCTGAGGGACCGCCTCCTCCAGTGCATGAATTTTCATGTGCTGGGCTCCTAGTATACACATGTTTTTTAAAAAAAGTAACGGTTTGTAGGAGTGCCGAGTAAAAAGAGGGCCCTCCTGTGAGAGGGCCCGTGGCAAACGCACAGCCAGGGGGCGGGGCGTGTGGGGAAAGGCAGGTGTCGCCGAGCCTTCCAATCAGCTCAGTCTAGGTCCCCCCACAGGGTGTCCTGACCATTAGCCAAGAGGAGGGTCAGGTTGACAGGGACAGAGAGAGCCCCGGGCACTGACATCCAGGTTCTTCCCGTCAGAGGGAGAAGGGAGATGTGGTCAGCAAGGGTCACTCCATTTCTTCCTCCAGGAAAAGCTGCAGGAAGCGGTGAGGAAACTGAGGCAGCTGGAAGAGGAATGCACGAACCAGAAAGCAATCACGGCGACGCAGATCGCCCAGTGGGAGGTGAGAATGGGGGGCTCTCACCTTGGCCGCTGGAGGGCACCCCCCTGGGCTCAGGTGCAGTCCCCCCAGTCGGGCGTGTGCAGGAGGCAACAGTCCATGTCTCTCTCACATTGACGCTCCTCTCTCTCTCCCCTCCCTCCCTCCCTGCCACTCCCCTCTCTCTAACAATCAATGGAGAGAATATCCTGGGTGAGGATTAACGACAACAACAGAAAAAGAACAGGGATTTCTTGGTGTGAAGCTCTGTCTGTCCTGGCGCTTAGGCGTAGGGTCTGATCGGGCCAAGCACAGGGATGGTGTCACTGAACCAGAGCAGCAGGTGGAGCCCCGAGAAAAAGCCATTGTCCTCCTTGTCCACATCGATGAGAGCTCATCCCCTCCCCCCCTCCTTCCAGCAGGAAATGGCCAGGAGGCCAGGGCCTGTCGGAGCAGCAGGATCACATGCCTGTTTACCGAGAGCCGTCCCCACTGGGTTTCCAACTTTCTTATTTTATTTTATTATTTTATTTTATTATTTTATTTTATTTTATTTTATATTTTATTTTATTTATTTTATTTTATTTTATTTTATTTTATTATTTTATTTTATTTTATTTTATTTTATTTTATTATTTTATTTTATTTTATTTATTTTATTTTATTTTATTTTATTTTATTTTATTTTATTATTTTATTTTATTTTATTTTATTTATTTTATTTTATTTTATTATTTTATTTTATTTATTTTATTTTATTTTATTTTATTTTATTTTATTTATTTTATTTTATTTTATTTTATATTTGCATTTATGTCAGAGACGAAGGGAGAGAGAGAGAAACATCCAAGAGGAGAGAGAATCATGGATCGCTGCCTCCTGCACGCCCCCCACTGGGGATGGAGCCCACAACCCGGGCCCGTGTCCTGACCGGGAATCCAATGTGACCTCCTGGGTCACAGGTGGACGCTCAACCACTGAGCCCCGCCGGCTGGGCTGAGCGTCCTCTCTTGACTGTAGGAGAAGATAGAGGCTCAGAGACAGAAAATCCAGGCGGACTTCCAGAAGCTGCGCAGCTTCCTGAGGGAGGAGGAGAGGTCGTACCTGTGGAGACTGGAGAGCGAGAGAGCGCGCACTCTGAAGAGACTGAGGGGTACTGAGGCCAACCTGGGGTAGCAAAGCCGCCAGCTGGAAAGCCACATCCGGGAGAAGGACGACCAAAGTGAAGACACCCATTACAAGCTGCTGTTCTTAATGCTGCCCGTATTCAGATGCCAAGGGGGAATTGTCAGAGCTGAAATGAAATTGTGGGCGGACCGCATTGATTGGCCTCTCTCCAGATCACACCTCAAGCGGGGATCTCTGCCTGTTACCGGAAAGATGTCGATTATCCGAAGGTCATCTGTTTCGGTGAAAGCAGGAAAAGGATGTGGACTTGGCATACAAGAAACCACATCTTATTAGGTTCTGGTTTAAATCCCCTGACAGGGAAAGGGGAAAATTTAATGGTTCCTCGC